AGAGGTACAAAGCAAGACTAGTTGCTAAAAGTTTCACACAAACCTATGGCATTAATTATTCAGAAACCTTTTCCCCTGTGGCAAAGATGAATACAATTAGAGTTATATTATCCCTTGCTGCCAATTATGGGTGGGAGTTACAACAATTTGATGTGAAAAATGCATTCTTACATGGAGAGCTTGAAGAAGAAATTTATATGGAGATTCCACCTGGATATGGGAATAATGTTGTTGTCAATTCAGTTTGTAAGTTGTGAAAAGAATTATATGGATTGAAACAATCACCTCATGCATGGTTTGGAAGGTTTACTAAGGATGTGGCAGTCTCAGGGTAGAAACAAAGTAACGGAGATCATACACTATTTATTAAGCACTCTTCTTCAGAGGGAGTTACAATATTGTTGGTATATGTTTATGATATTATTGTGACTCAAAATGATTGGAAGGAACAACAAGTCTTGACTCAACATTTAGCAAAAGAGTTTGAAATGAAAAGTCTTGGGAGGCTGAAGTATTTTTTAGGAATAGAGGTGGCTCATTCAAAAAAGGGTATTTTCATATCTCAACAAAAGTATATCATAGATTTGATCATGGAAATAGGTAAGCTAGCTTGTAAACCTGTGGGAATTCCTATAGATCCAAACCATAAGTTAGGTAATGTAGAAGAAGGTGCAGTGGTGGATAAGGAAATGTATCAAAGATTGGTTGGAAGACTAATTTACCTTTCCCATACAAGGGGTAATATTTCCTTTGTTGTTAGTATGGTTAGTCCATTTATGCACAATCCAAAGGAAGTTCATTTACTTGCAGCTCACATGATTTTACAATATCTTAAGGGAACTCTGGGAAGATGGATTTTGTTTAAAAGGAATGGAAGTGCTACTTTTGAGGCATATATTGATGCTGATTATGCGGGCTCAACTATTGATCAAAGGTCAACTATAGGGTATTGTACATTTCTCGGAGGAAACCTCGTAACTTGGAGGAGTAAAAAGCTGAATGTTGTGGCCTGGTCCAGTGCTGAAGCTGAGTTTCGAGCTATGGCACAAGGTATTTGTGAATTACTTTGGTTGAAGATTATTTTAGAATACTTAAAGATTAAATGGGATGGACCTATGAAGCTCTTTTGTGATAATAAATCAGCAATTAATATAGCTGACAATCCAGTTCAACATGACCAAACAAAACACATTGAGGTGGATAGACATTTTATCAAAGGGAACACTCATTATGTTCCTTCACAAGGTTAACTTGCGGATGTCTTCACCAAAGGATTGAGCTTCCCAAATTTTGAAAAAATTGTGTCCAAGTTGGGAATGGAGAATACCTATTCACCAGCTTGAAGGGGAGCGTTGGAAATTCTAATAATTTAATTCTGTATTTTTTAAGTAGTTAATTCTGCATTTTTCTAGTTAATTCATTGCATACTAAGTTCATGTATCTTGGTAATTTGTATTAGTTTAATTCCTTTTTTTGTAAATTGCACATAATTATTATCCTTGTAAGTTGTAACTACATGATTATAAATTAAGCAATATGCTGAGAGCAATGCATCTCAAGCACATTCAAAACAATATTATTCTTATTTTTCACAGTTGTATTCATATTTATTTGATTTCTAACTCTTGTTTAGTCTATTTTTGACATGGAATGCGACTCTTACAATAATATTTTAGGTATCGATATGGAGCTTCAAAGTGATTGATGTTTGTTTGATGTGTGATCGCAGAAATGAAGGAGTTTTTTTTACATCAACATTATGTAACAATAAATCGACCGCATTACTTTCAGAGTTATTTATTTAGTATTTTTTAATGAGATAGAAGCGCGGTGTTTTTCCTCTTAAGATATTGAATTGACATTGAATTGATTGAATTCTTAAACCGTTTTGATTATGTTTAAACAAATATTTTGATAATTTTTTAATCATGTCTTAAATGAAAATCGAAGACGTTATCCTCTCTCTTTCTCCACGTACCTAAACTTTTCATTATTTATCAATATTATGATTGTGCATATTCTAACAATAATTAGTATTTTAATAAAGACATTATTCTCTTTTATTTATACATTTCTTTAATTTGTATGAGATAATCAACTAATCACTCATTATGGGATGAGAGAAGTAATAATTTTTCTTTTATTTCGTATGCACTGCACAATTTTTTCTATCATTACGTTTATCTCACTATTTTTTTAAATAATAAGGTTTTTAATGAAACTTTGTTTTTTACATGAATTTTGGTCCAATCCTTTCAAAATGTTTGTTATGTATTTCGATCTTTAATAATAATTTATTTTAAAATGTTGTTTTATTAGGTGTTTAAGATAGCAACATCAACCTAGTTGAGATGGATCTTCTCCATTTATTTAATCTCATTGATTTTTATTTTTTTAATTGAAAGTATATATATATATATATATATATATATATATATATATATATATATATATATATATATATATATATATATATATATATATAGGATTATATTTTTTACTAAAAATATAAATGTCATTTAGTTTTAATTTTGTCATTTATCAAAACATCAATTAGTCTCGTTAAATTAATTCAATTGATAGTTATGCAACAACGTCATCTATAACAATATATATTCAAAAGGAGTTAGAGAGATAAACTTTGTACTCTCTCTAAAAGGGGCTTAGGTTTTGGTTTCATCACCCATGAGCGGTGGGTTTCCTAACCGAAAAGAAGGATGGATAGAGGCGAGGAAGAGAGTTTTCAGAAATTGGGTTCCACTTTGGGACACGTTTCAAGCATGCAGAAGAATAGAGAGTTGCGGAGAAACAAAGATATCATCGTTTTACTTCTATGAGTTTCCTGATAGGTGCAAGGCTAAGGATTGTTTCGAGCTTTTTGGTTTTTTAGGGGTGGTGGTGGAGGTTGCAATTTCTCCCAGAAGGAACAAAATTGGGAAGAGGTTCGGATTTGTAAGGTATAAGAAGTTAGAGGACACGAGGATTTTGGCGGTGAGACGATAATATTCAATTTGACAGGAAGAAAATTCATGCCAACCTTCCAAGGTTTGAGAGAAACAGGATTGCGGAAGCATATCGTTTTGAGGGGAAGGCGAGTTTTGGGGCTTCAGTTCTTCGTCTGAATAACACGCGAAGGAATAATGCAGATTTCAACAATAGGAGGGATAAAAGGTCTCTTGTGGACGTGGTTTCTAATAATGTTCCAAAGGATTGTCAGAGGGAGTCTTCTGGGTTTAAGTTCTCTTCGAATAAGGATGATAGAACGAGATTACGCAGAGCTTTTGTTGGTCAAGTTGCTATTTCGAGTTTAACTTACAACATTTAAACTCAGTTCGAGATGGAGGGCTTGTATGTGATCAAGGTTACACCGTTGAGTCCAAATTTATGTCTTATGGAGGAATCAGAGGAAGGACTTATTGAAGATTTAATAGGGGAGGGGAAACTTGGTGGAAACAATAGTTCTCAGAGGTTAGGAAATGGAGCGAGGAAGAAGTAGATGATGGTAGAGTGATTTGGATCAGAATTTTTGGTGTTCCTTTACATGCTTTAAATGATGATTTTTTCGTGGCTCTAGAAAATTCCTTGGGCGCGTTTGTGTGTTTAGATGATCATACTTCCAAAGGTTCAAATCTTTCTATGGTGAGAGTTATGTTGAGGGTGTCCCTCTCATTTAAATTGAGCTAATCTATTTGGGTGGATATTAACTCTAAGGCCTACAATCTGGTTGCTAGGGAAGAATTATTTGGCTAGCAGGGAACAGCTTCAGGTAATCTTAATACTCAAATTATTGGTTTTGACTCTTCCATTTTGGAATATGTTTGGTCTAATGAATTGTTTTAGGGGACGGGTGTTTCTGAGAAGGAGGACTTGGAGGAAAGCACCGAGGAGTTTTCTTTTCATGAGGAAACATTTGGTTCGGGCACTAGAAATAGTGTTGTTAAAGAAGATGCATACGGTATCGGTAATCAGGGAGTAAGGGAAGTAGTTTGTTCAGGAAGTTGCAAAGCTTCTACTGAAGAGTCTCCATGCAGTTCTTTTGATAAGTCTCTTGTTTAAGTAAATGAGTTGAAGAACTCAGTGGCTGTTAGTGAGAGCTTAGACACCAAGAATTTTCGTTCTGTTGGGACGAGCATTTCCAGTGTCAAATGTTCTTTCGATTGTGATACTAAGAGGAAACACTCCAAAAAGGTGAAATTCAAGAACATGGTGGACATGGGAGGATTTCTCAGCAAAAGATATCTTAGGTCAATCAATAGAATTAATAGGAAGGGAAATTCCTTCTCAGCCTAAGGGGATTTCTAAATCTATTTCTTTTCCAAAGACTGAAACAACAAATGGTTATATGTCTTCTTTTCATTTGGATCTAGCTAGGCATGTCAGTGGGAGTATTTCGATCCTATACAATGATCAACTGAAGAATTTAGACATTTACAGGAGTAATGGTAGGAAGTGGGGGTTTTTGGACAGTAATGTTGGCAGTAAATTATGGTTAGCTATAAGGGCGTTGGGTGTGGTGGAGTTGGTAGGACGGAAGAACTATGCTAGCAGAATCGAGGATTTGGAGAAAGTGGACAGAAAAAGGAAGGAAGTTAGGAAGGAGACACCAACTTATTTGAAATGATAATAGGTTCTATGAATATTAGAGGGGGGCAATGCCCTTAAAAGAAGATGAATTAGTTCTTTAATTAAAAAGGGAAATGCGAAAGTTTTCATGATACAAGAAACAAAGTTAACTAGTATGCAAGACTCTTTGGCTAATAGCTTTTAGAAAAATAATGGAATCGGTTATTCCTTCTCAAGTTCGTTGGGGAGGCCGGGTGGTCTTTTAACTCTTTGGAAGTAAGAAAAGGTGGAAGTTTTAAATAGTTTCAAAGGTGAGGGGTTTTTAGGGATCAAGGTTTTGTGGAAGAGTAATATTTATCATGTCTTAAATATTTTACTCTTCGTGTGATTTGATCAAAAATAAATTATTATGGAGCAAATTATTAGAGTTAAAGGAAATGTTCAAAGATGGGGAGTGGATCATTGGAGGTGATTTTAATTCTATCAAGAACCGAAGCGAGAGGAAAGGGAGGGTGGAGATTGAGAGCAATAATGAAATGAAGTCTTTTGTGGAATTCATTGAGGAAAGTATGTTGGTGGATATTCCTTGTAAAGGAAAGAAATTTTCTTGGTATAGTGGTGATGGAAAATCTATGAGTAGAATTGACCGATTTCTTTTGTCTGATAATATTGTGAATAGTTGGGAGTGGTTGGGCAACTTGTTGGTTCTAGGGATATTTCAGATTATTGTCCAATATGGATTGTGTTGGATAATATCAATTAAGTACCAAAACCTTTCAAATTCAACAACGAATGGTTTACTCTTAACTCTTTCTTACCTTTTATGGAGAAGGAATGGAAAGACATTAAGGTGGAAGGAAGAGGGGACTTTGTTTTAAAAGAAAAGTTAAGAGTCTTTAAAGAAAGACTTAAATGGTGGAATAAGGAAGTGTTTAGGAGGTTTGATTTGGAGGTGGAGGAGGGTGTTAGGGACATTAATTTCAGTGATGATATATTGGAAGTAGAGGGAGACGAGTTGGATCCCGAAATCATTGAATTTAGGAAGGAAGTAACTAGTCGGTTTTTGGACGAATTTGAGGATAAAAGAAAATATGTTCGTCCAAAAATCGAGGTTGAAATGGCTTAAAGATGGATATTACAATAGAGGTTTCTTCCATAAGGTGATGAAAGATAGAAGAAGACATAATCATATTGGTCCCATCGTTTCTTCTGGGGGATTGGTGGAGTCGGTTGAAGACATTAAGGAGGAGGTTAGAAGTCATTTTTCGAACAAATTCATAGAATCGGAGCGGGAGAGGCCTTTATTGGATGTGATTTCTTTTAAAAGTATTAACGAGGAGGATAGTTTATCTCTTGAAAGCCCTTTTCAAGAGGTAGAGATAAAGGAGGCTATTTGGATTGTGGTGGATCCAAAAGTCCGGTCCGAATAGTTTCTCTTTTCTTTTCATAAAAAAATGTTGGTCATTTCTAAAAGATGATTTTATCTTGTTTGTTAATTGCTTTCATATTAGTAGAGAAGTTTAGAAGGCAGTCACTTCATCTTTCTTGGCTTTGGTTCCTAAGTCTCCAAATCCTATTAATTTGGACGATTATAGACCTATTTGTTTGGTGGGATGTATGTATAAAGTGATAGCTAAAATTTTGGCGGGGAGATTGAAAAGGGGTTTGAACTCCATTATTTCTCCTTGTCAAAGTGCTTTTGTGTCGGGTAGACAATTGCTTGATGGGGTTTTGGTGGCAAATGAAGTGGTTAATTATGCTAGAAAGGAGGGTAGAAATTTCCTTCTCTTTAAGGTGGATTTTGAAAAAGCTTATGACAAAGTGAGTTGGGATTTTTTAAGATACGTGTTGATGAGAATGGGGTATGGTTCAAAATGGAGGAGTTGGATGGAGTTATTGGTCTTCCAAAGTAAGATGTCGGTGTTAGTTAACAAGAGTCCTATGTCGGAGTTTGTTGTTGAGAGAGGTTTGAGGCAAGGAGACCCGCTTTCACCTTTTCTTTTTGTTTTGGTAGCGGAAGGTATAGCGGGGCTAGTGAGGAAATCTATTGAAATCGGAGAATTTGGTAATTTTTTTATCAAAGGGAAATGCCATATAGACATTCTCCAATTCGCAGATGATACATTATTGGTAGGAGAAGGATCTTGGAAGAATTTTGGGAGATAAAGACGGGTTTTAGGGCCTTTGAACTTGTGTGGGGTCTTGGTATTAATTATCACAAAAGCAAGTTGATCGACATCAATTCTAGCACCAATTTCTTGGAAGCCGCCTCTTATTTCCTTTCTTGCAAGGTGGAAGATAGCAACTTTACTTTTCTTGGTATTCCCATTGGATCCAATCCAAGGAAAGTTTCGACTTGGAATCCTCTTTTGTCCAAGATGAAGAAGCGGTTGTCGGGGTGGAAAAATTGTTTTCTCAATCTTGGTGGTAGAATAACTCTTTTGAAACCCATTTTATGTTCTTTAACTATTTTCATTGTGTCTTTTTATAAAATTCTGGTGAAGGTAGCTAAAGAATTTTCTAGACTTCAAAGTAACTTCTTATGGGGGTAGTGAAGAAAAGGAGAAAGATTCATTGGATAAGTTGGAGGGATGTTTGCTTACCTTTTGAGAAGGGAGATTAGGAATAAAAAATACAATGGAGTTTAATGTAGCCCTCCTTAAGAAGTGGAGATGGACAATTCTTCAAGGCCAAGATTCTCTTTAGTATGATTTATTGAAAGCTCGGTATGGCAGTATTTCTTCTCAAGTTTTTTGTGGAGGTAAGAAAAAAAATTTCTTCTTCTTTTTCTTCTTGGTGGAGGGACATCATCAAGGTAGGGAGCTTTTCTAACATTGATCCTATTGCTTCCAATAGTAGATTTATTATTCGTAGCGTTTTTTCTACTCCTTTTTGGGAAGTCAAGTGGTTAGAAGATAAAACCTTGAAAGAGGATTTTTCTGATTTATTTGTGAATTCTTTTTTGAAAAGAGTTTCGGTGGCGGGCATGGGGGGTTGGAGTGATGGAATATGGATATGGGGTGACCTCGATTTATCTGCGGTCGTGGACCATGACCCAGTTTTGTTGCCCGATTATGTGTCTTTAAAGGAGCGTTTGGAGGATTTTGTTGGCATGTCGTGTAACGCCCTTTAATTTAATTAATTATTTAATTAAATTAATTATGGATTAATGGTTGAATATGTTGTTAAAATTGTTGAAGTTGCGAAATGGAGAGAAATATTGATTTAAGTTGCTAAGTTGTTATTTGGTTGATATTTAACTGGTTGGTTGATTAATATTAGTAATAATATTAATATAGATATTAGAATAATATAAGGTTTATTAGTTGGGCTCATTATTTGGTTGTATGGAGTAATAGGTGGGGTGTGAAAGTGAGGCCCAATAAGAATATTAATAATTATAAGGTTAAGTTAATTATAAGGATTAGGTTAATTGAACAAGTCTTTGAGTATTTTGTGGTGAACGTGAGATGTTGCAGAATTGCAGAAAAGAGGAAAAGAGGCAAAAGTTGGAAACTTTGGCAAGGTTAGGTTCGATCGAAGAATTATAGGACATTCTCCAATCCAAGGTAAGGATGGGGTTATAAATCTATAACTGAATATATGATGGATAATATGTGGGATTAGATTTGTATGAAATTATTTCTGTTCGTGTGGATTGTGTTGCAGAGTAATTATGTTCATATGTTGTTGTCTCTGTCAAATGGGGTTTTCTTGTGAGAAATTATTCCATGTTTATATAATTTTTTTATGTTGTTGTGGTACTGTCTTGTGCTGTTGAATTGGTAAACTGATGAATCTAAGGAAAATTTTGGAGAAGAAAAATAAAAAATTTCAGAAGCCACGGGAAGAAGCCTGTGCCGTGCGGCACAGGCAGGAAAAAGAAAGTGACGATCGGCAGGAAGCATTGTGTCGAACAGCACGTGTGGAGAGGAAGGGGGTGCCGATCCGCACCCTAGAAGGAAAAGGGAACTGTTAATGTATGCCGAGGGGCACTCAGAGAAGAGTTGCCTTATTATATCTTTTGGTAATGAAATTAGTATACTAGTATAGAATTTTCTTAGTGTATTAGTGGAATATTGACAAATCATATTAGTAGAATATGCTAGTAGGCAATATTATTAAATAAGAGCAGCAAGGAAATATAAGAGTATTAGAAACTAGTGGCAGTAGGATATAATTGTTGAAAATAATAACAGAAGGCTATTAACAGTAAAACGATAGCATGGATAATTCATACTAGTAGGATGTAATTACAAGTAGCAGAGCTTGTGAAATAACAGTACCAGGATGGTCTTAATAATAATAATAATAATAATAATAATAATAATAATAATAATAATAATAATAATAATAATAATAATAATAATAATAATACAGAGTATAAATACTAGAAATTTTAGTAGAGGATTATTTAGCAGGATATAGTTGAATTGTCTGAATAATTACGCGGAATGTTTGTAAAATATTACGGTTGTGACAGTGGATTGTATAAGTTGCTGTAAGGTAGAGACTAAGATGTGAATTAGTAACAGAAGGTTATTAGTAATAAAATAACAGTGGAGAATTAATTAATTAGCAGGATTTAGTCGATTTGTCCGCATAATTATACGGAACAATTGTTGTATATTTTAGTCGACACGGTGTGTTGAATACCTTGCTAAAAATATGAATTTCAGGTGGTATCAAATTGTTAGGATTATGGCCAGTGTTGATTTCTTATTGATGTTGTTGTCACATTACTATTGTTGATATGATATTGTTGTTGTGACGTACTAAGTTGTACGCTTATGCCAACATTGTGTTAATTGTTGTTGTTGAAATATCAAGTTGTAGGCCTATGGCCAAAGTTGAATTATGTTGAGTTGATGTTGAATCGTTGATTGATGTGGTAGGCTTATGGCTAATGTTGATTTATGTTGAGTTGTTGTGTTGTTGTGATTGTCGCTGTGAATTCTTGTTGATAATGCAAAGTTGTAAGGAATTTTAAATGATGATGAATTACCTCTATTTACTGGTAATAATGGTGATGTGGGCTTATGCCTTGTGATGAATGATGATTGTCGTGAGTATGTGATGGTGCATTCATTGAGTCACATACATTTGCATACTTTGAGATAGCCTGGATTGGCAAACTGCAAAGAAGGCTTATGCCTTGTTGATGCCTCTATTAATTGGCAATTTTTAAGATGGGAGTTCTGCTCCGTTTCTAAGTTGGGAGTTCTGCTCCGTTTTTAAGTTGGGAGTTCTGCTACAATGGTACCACATACATGTGCATTGTTATTGAGTCGCATTTCATGTTGCATCTTGAGTTGTGGTGAAGATAGATTTGTTTTTTCTTTATGTTGTTGACTTGTTGTGACGGGTATCATCTAAAAGTTGTGAATTAGTCGTTATATCGTATTGATGTTTTGTTGAGATTAAAGTTGTTTGAAATTTGTGAAGTGGTGATTCTATATGAACTAATTATGATATATTAATTATCATACATTCTATTATATCGTTAGATATCTCATCCCTTATGTTTGAATGTTTCCCTCTGTTGGTAACGTGCAGGTAATCAAGAAGAATAGTTGTTACCTTCGTCAGTTCGAGTTGGTGGTGTCACTCTGATACGTAGCACTCGGGGGGATAAATGCTTGATGTTTAGTTGTTGATTATAATTTTAGTTGCTGAATTTTTAAGTTAATTACATGAAATAATTGTTGTCTTGAAGTTGTGTTAGTTGAATAAAAGATGTTAAGTGAATTGAAGTTGATTATGTAGATTCCGCTACTTATCAATAAAAAGTTGATTGATTTTAAAGAATAAATCAGGTTGTTATTGGTTCATTTGAATTAAGTGTTATGTATCTGTTTTATATGCGATTAAATGAAGTTTGATTTTAAGTTGAAAATGTAGCATCCAATTTATGTTAAACTCTGATTTTCTTATTATCCGTCGGGTAGAAATGGGGTGTTACATTAGTGGTATCAGAGCAGGTCGGTCCGTCCGACCAAATTGTTTAATGTTGTTTGTTCCTTAGTGCGTGACAAGTGTGTGAAACACTGCCGGTGCTTGTTGTTTTTCTAATTGAGTTGTGTACAAGAGTTGGGTTGAAGATAAGTGAGGGAGAAGCTTTGCTTCTCAGATATGTTTCGGTTGTAAGATTTTAGTTCAGTATGTTGTTGATGGCGACAGTGCGAGTATTGTTGAAGTTTTGTCGTTTCCCGAATCTGAAGGTGACATGGATTAAAGATTTTGTTTGTTAATCAAGTTGGAACATCTTGAGGGAGGATGATCAGACATTGTCGATGTTTACTTCTCGAGGAGGAGGAGCAATGTAACGGTTGTTGATATACGAGTAAAGTGTAAATCCCTGATGTTTCTGAAGGTGATTGTTAAGTAACAAGGATAATTTTTAGAATATGGAATTTAGAAAGTTGCGATGTTTCAGCGTTACTAGTGGATTGTGAAGTTTTCGGTTTGAGTAGCCCTTGCATAAGATGTCAACATTTGAAGGGTGATAGAGTGGAAGATTATTGTAGACCTTGTCGTAAGATCTTTGTGAGTGATTGTAAAAGTTGTTGAAGTTGTTGGAATATTTTGAATCGCGAGTCAGAGTCGGAAATGCAAGGAGATGAGTAAGATTTCAAGAAATAAGAATGGAAAATGTTGGTACTGGTGCAAAGAAATTATGTTATGATGTTATCGTAAGATGTGTAATAGTATGTCGTTGCACGACGTCGGTGTTCACATTTTTGGATAACTTTAGAAATTCATATCTTGTGTTTCGAGTATCGGATTGGCGTTCTGTTTGAAACTATGAGGGTATAGAAATATATTATATCCTATGAAAGTGTTTTCAAATATGGTTGATGCATTCTCATATGGAGGAACTTTGGAGTCGTTTACGGAACTAGAGGCTTTTGGGCATAAATGGTTATTATCGCAGTTGTTCGAGACGAGGTCAAGCATAATATGTTATTGGCAATTAAGTTGAGAAATGAGATGTTCGTCATTGAAAAGGATAGTCGTTCATCATTTCAAGTATGGGACGTTGCATGTGAAGAAATTTTTGTAAAACTAAAGAAAATATTGATGACTGCTCCGGTATTGGTTTTGCCTAATCCGAGTGAGTCATTTGTAGTATATTATGAATGGTTCTAAGATGGGACTTAGTGGTGTGCTAATACTGAAGGGATAATTTGTTGCTTGTGCTTCTAGAGGACTCATAGTTAATGAGAAGAATTATCTTACGTGTGACTTAGAGTTAGAAGCAGTGGCATTTATGTTGAATATTTGGAGACATTGTCTTTTTGGTTCTAGATTTAAAGTATTTATTTGATCAGAAGGAATTGAATATGAGACAACGAAGATGGTTGGAGTTGTTGAAAGATTATGATGTCGATTTGAATTATCATCCAGGTAAAGCTAAGGTTGTGGCTGATGTTTTAGGTCGAAAGACTTTACATGTGTCGGCAATGATGGTTAAAGAATTGGAATTAATTGAACAGTTCAGAGATATGAGCTTAGTTTACAAAGTGACACCGAAGAGTGTTATGTTAGGGATGTCAAAGATTAAGAATGATTTTCTGGACAGTATCAAAGAACCTCAGAAGTTAGATGTGGAATTGGTAGATTTGGTGGTTGGACTCGATCAGTCTGAGAATGATGATTTCAAGTTAGATGTGCAAGGTGTGTTCCATAATTGAATTTGTATTCCTGATGATGCGGAGATGAAGAAATTAATTCTTGGTTAGAGAATGCTTAACCTTCGGGTGAGACTATATGAGTGTAATGTGGACTATGTAATATGCTGAGCGTTGGTGTCTCACCGACAATATCAAATGAGAGTAAAATTATGGAGATGTCTGTAAACCTCATTGGAAATTATTTGATTATGGTGCGTTAGGAGACTTGAGTACAAGTTCTAAAGGAACCCTATTATAGTTCAATAACGATGGTTTATACTCCATTATGGTTGTCATCTATCTATTGATAAATTGAGGAACTGATCACCCTTAATCTCTTGTTGATAGTAGACGAGATCGTGTTGGATGGTATAGACTTGTCTTGCTATCTTAATGGTGTGTAAAGTGATTGATGTTATATCGTGAGGGTAGTCGCTCACCAATTTGTGTGAAGAATGTGTAAGAAAGAGTTGAGACGTATTAAACAAGTCGGAGTAGCGAGTTATATGCGAATTAACGTCGCAAAGTGAAAGATGGAGATATCAAGTGAACAATGATTTTATGGTGGGTGTTGAGGAAAGTCTGAAACTAGATTGAAGCTTGTAAATTGTATAGTTGACGGAAATTTTAATGAGGACAGTGACTTAAGGTGGATTATCAGAGTTGCGCAGCTGAAGCGTGATATGGCGCAATTTCTATGCATGTACGACTCGTTAGAAGTGAAGGATTAAAACATCAGAAGCCTATGGGAATGGTGTGTCTTAATCTACATGCTTGATTTGGTGGATGGTTGATATAGAGATGTTGTGCCAGGGCACTATGTTTGATAGTAAATATTTGCGGATTTTATAAGAAGGTTGTTGTGGATTGTTGGTTAATGGTGAGCTATGGGTATGCTTGCTGAGTTATACAGTTAAGTTGATGTTGTAATGATTTTGTTATTGTTATTGATATGTTATTGTTGATTTTGGTAAGTAAGGAACGATACTCCATAATGTGATGAAGTTGATTATGTTGGTTGTGTTGATGTCACTATAAGAGCGATACGATGATGCGAACAGATTTGTTGATATTTTGTTGATAATTGACATACAGGAATGGAATTGTGTATGTGTTTTGATGTTGAAAAGGTTGTTAAGATGAAATTGTGATGATGTATATTCAAGTAAAAGTGTGTCATAGTTGTTGCTACTTTAAATGTTGATATGTCAGATTATGGTGGAGTAGTTGAGATACTAGTAACGATTGTGTCACGAAGTGTTGAATGATTGGCATGTGTGTAATCAATTTGAATGATGTTGAGTTATTGAGTTATCAGAAAAGTAGTGGTCTAAGTGTTGCCAAACGCGACTTAGAAATCAATGAGTTGGATGTGAAGCTCGTGCTAAGAGTGGTAGTATCTGTGATACGGTGGGGGA